TCTCGGGCCCGGCCCGACAGATTTTCCTTTTCTTTTGTTTTGGGCGTGATTTTGGTGTTGTCTTGGACAACAAGAAATTTTGTTCTTTTTCCCAAACCTAATATACATATGTGTATATGTATATATCTATAAAATATCAATCGCAAGTTTTGGTTCTTTCTGTGATTTCGATCGACAACATCGTTTCCTTCATCCCTCATCGTCATCATCTCCTTCTTTCACCATCATCGATCTTCAATCGTCATCACCATCACCACGCGCGCTCATCATCGTGCCCTCATCATCCTCGTCATCTCCTCTCCGTCATCATCATCGTCGCCCCAGTTGCAGTTCCGGCGACAGTTGCAGCAAGTCCCGGAGAACTCTGAACCTTCATCGTCCCCTCCGCGCCGCGACCTGCTTGTCCTCACGCCGCGACCTGCCCGACCTCCGCGCCGCGACGCCACTTCTGCCGCGCCGTGAAGCTCCTCCTCCATCGCTGTTTGTGGTCTTTTTCCGGCGAGCTTGTTAATTCTCCGAGCAGCGACGTCCGGCGACTTTCCCAACGAGCCGTGAACCAGCAGCAAGCTATTCCCGTGTACATCGAGCCCTCTTTTCCGGCGAGACGAGTTTACCGTCGAGCTTTCGTGTTCGTGACGTTTCGAGTTTTCCCGAGAACGGTACCTCGTCGTTTGTCCGTCTCGTTTAATTCACATATGCTCGTTGAGTTGTTCGTATTCATGTTGTGCTCCTATTGTATATATGATGTGAATTTAATTGTTGAATATGTGCTAATATATGAATTGTTGTGATTATTGTATTCGTATGTTCGGGATCTCTTCGATTTTCTCAAAAATCGAACGAGACCTAGAAAGTCGTGTAAGTCGGTGGATAATGGAACAATGTCGAGTCCTTGGTCTTATGAAAAGGCCTCGGACGATAAATCGTGTGTTGTGATTTAATTGTCAAGTTGTCGAACACGTTAATCGCTGTTTTGATGTTCGAATTTTTAAAAATAGCTCGCTCCTCGAAACGATGTGAAATTTTGAGGGATGTGTTATCTGTCTATATTCTGCCTTGTGTAAAATTTTCATAATTTTTGGAGACCTGTAGCTATTTTTAATAATTAATTTGTATTCTGTCCAGAATATTGTTAAATGCATAATAAATTCATGCTTGACTGAAATGAGCTGAAATTTGGATATATCATTCCTCTGTGACTTATATGTGTTGTGTTAAATTTTTAGAATTTTTGGTGTTGATTTGATATGGTTAATATTTTATTTATTGAATCTGAAGAAATGTTGTTCGAATTTTTAAAAATTGGTTACTGCATGGACAATTCTGAAATTTTGCTGAGAGTCATATTTTAGGTGTTTGATCATGTTTGTAAAATATGGAAATTTTTAGAGTCCGTCTGGTTTCAGTTTGGATTTAAATTTGATAAACTGCTGTTGCCCGTTTGAATTTTTAAAAATAGCAGCAGTTATCATTTAAGGCTGCAATTTTTATAAATGGACTTCGGTATATTGAGTGTTGTTGTATAAAATTTTCAGGTTCAGATTCATTCATTAAGTCTGAGTATGGATTAATGTGCCTTTTTTGCTGAATTACTGTTCGAATTTTATAAAATAGGATATTTTGAGTTTAAAGCTGAAACTTTGTGATTTTACATGTTACTGGGAGATGAAATTTTGTATAAATTTTCAGAGCTTAATTCGTAGGATATCTTGACCTTTTATTAAATAGAAAGGAAAAGAAGCCCCTTTAGGGAAGTCGATTTCTCTTGCAATGCTCCCGGGGTCTCGAAGAGAAAAAGTTTTTCACGCGATTAAATGATTTCAATTTTCGAGCTTAATTGTTATATTGAATTTGGATGGCCTTGCTTTTTGGTTTTTATGTGTGTTTGACTTGGTCAAACCTTAGATGGATTTTTGTGAACTCCCTTAAGTGGTTTGGTCGAGTTTAGGGCCGAGTCCTAGTGTTCCAACATCCACAGGACTTCACGAACTACTTAGTCGGATCGAGTTCGACTAGGTCTGTCTTGTGATTTCCGATTTAAGTCGAGATAGATTCTGATTGTAGGATCTTGACATCATGTAGGTGTCTAGAGGTGTTGATCTTGCCTTATTTCGAGATTTGTGACTGTGAACCGTGTTGCTATCAGGTGGGTACATTTATGATGTATTCCATATTTATCGCACTCCTTATTTCGTGTAATGTTCTTTTGAAAATTTTTGTATGCATGAGAACTCTAGTCTAAGTGTCCCGAACGCTAGTGCCTTGATGAATGCGAAAACAGTAGGAGGTCGCCTGCCCGTTGTATCCGGGAGGGACGCCCCATGCCGTTGTATCCGGAAGGGGAAAAACATCTCTGCTGTCTCCTGGAAAGAATCCTGCGAACCGTTGTACCCGGGGGTGGGAATATTTCCAGTTACAGCCATGCCGTTGTATCCGGAAGGTTGTTGTATGTACATAGGAGGTTTGCGATAGGGCTGGGTAGGGGGTTTAGGCTTTGAATTCTGTGCATACCGATATTGAAACTGCTTTTACTGATACTGCTTTTTAAAATAATTATACGAGATAACCGTGTGATAATGGTGAGCTAGTTGGTTGCTCACCCCCATTATTTTCTTATTGTTTCTCTCTTCCTTTGTTTTTAGGTTAATACGAGCTGGAGGCGGTGGCGTAGGACAAGCGAGATGGTGGTCATATGTATTGATAAATCTATGCTTCCGCTTAAACTCGAACTTTATTTGTTTGCTATTATTGCCTTGGATTATTTACTGCTTTCACTTTTCAAACTATGTTGAATTGGGTTGAGCTTTGAATAATGTTGGATCTTTTGAAATGTTTTTTTAAGACTTACGTATATTTGGAACTTGTCTTATTGTTAGTTCGTGCATGTGTGTTATTTAATGATGTTAGTAAGTAGCGCCCGTTTCTCGATAAAGGTTTTAATTTATATTTAAAAAAAAAAAACTCTGATTTTTATTAAATAAATACGGTAAATTCTTGAAATTAAAACGGGGCGTTACATTTAATTACTTATTCAATCAGGAAAAGAATTAAATTATCTTCTAGAATTTTCCTAAGAAGAAGTATATAATTCTTTCCAGAATATTACCAAGGTTGGATGTAACTCCCTGTTCTTCTTATAAGGAAAAATCTCGAGTTTCCAAAAATCAGAGTAAATTTTTTAAATTTATATATCGTTTTAAAAATAATTTAGCGGGCGCTACTCAATCATCCATACATATCACTCGGCTTAGCATCATCATAAATCCTCGGGAACTCATTGCCAAATATCAAGTCATATATGAGATATAATCCACAAATATATTATCTCACAATAATCATCAAAGCATTAGTAGTTTTCAAACCATGTTCAAACCAGATCAACATCCAAATCATCAGTTCGAAACCAATCATAAGTTTTGAAAACATTCAACTTTAAGCGGAAGCAACATCAACATAATTAAATAAAATGACCCACTCGTTTCGTCCTTTGCCTCACCATCAGCTCAACCTGAAAAGATAATAATAATGGGGGTGAGCATGTTAGATATGCTGTAAAAGCTTGACTTTCAGATATAAACAGTACCATTTTGATCTGACAATTGTGTTTTAGTCAAAGTATTTATGTTTGCAGTTTATTTATTTATGCAATCATAACTCCATTATTTTACAATATGGTTCGTCGTGTCGAACAGAAAGATCATATTATTGGTTCCTTGTAAAATATAAATTAATTGTTCACAGTTTAGACTGGCAGTGAGACCCTTGTTGGAAAAGACTGTAGTGTAGTCTTGATTCAGTTGGTCTTTGACTGATGGGTTACACTAGTACTTATGATAAGTATTGAATGGACCGCAAAAGGATAAGATTATAAGATTTAGTGATCGTTGTTATAATCTAGACCTTCAGTAATTGATGTGTAGTCTTAAGCTGTAACATAATATAAAATGGCCATATATATTCTACTTATCTATTTGATTTACCAAGGGTGATTTCTATTCTGTTAGGATGACATACTCGGTATTTTGGTAAGTAAGAGCGTTTATATGATATGCCGTTATACATTATTTACAGTCACTATGTCCCAGTGTGCTGAGTTGATGACGTCCCCGAGATGAGATCATGAAGAAATATTATGTAAACCCTGCAGGTGGATAATTATCCGGCATAATGATTAATGAATTGAGTGGTACTAGTTTCGGAAATGAAGAATTCGAATTAATTTTATTATCAGTAATTAAATTAATCGACGGACGTTATATCTTAAACATGGGGAGGTAAATCGATCAATTAGATTAATGTTAATTAATCATTTGGAGGTTCGAATTTATTGAATAAATTTGAGCTAAATAGGGAGAGCAATAATATTACTCTAGTGGAAATGTTTTATTATTTAATTCTATTTAGATTAAGTAATTAATTTTATTCCATATAGGAGAGGAATATTCCTTCTAAAATTATTGCCTAGGGTTAGGAGACTAAGGAGTCTTCTAGAAGGTAATTAGGGTTAGAAGTAATCCCATCCTAGATTGGAAAAGTATATGGAATGGAATTAGGTTTCCTTAGCCTAATAGGATTAGCCCATATTTAGCAACTCCTTAAGGTGCCTAAGGGTAGTCTATAAATACACCATGTCTTGAACTCTCCCCTACATTATTCCACACGCCTAAACTAAGGATTCCTAAGGGAAGAAGGAGTTTTCGAGTGTTCTATATATTGAGAGTTCGAGAGATCCGGAAAATCGCGCACCAAGATTTTTCGGAGTAGGTGTTTATATCATAAATTCGAATATCTTAAGGTTAGATAGATCGAGCCTTGAAGATCTCCTTTTTCCGGTCACATCGCCGCTGTCCACCACCACCGGAAAGTCTCTGAAAATCGCCGCCGGCTCGCCATGATTTTTCGAAGTAGGTGTTTAGATCATACATTAGAAGATCTTAAGGTTAGATACACCGAGCCTTGAAGATCTCCTTTTTCCGGTCATATCGTCTCCGTCACCACCGATGGAAAGTCACCGGAAATCGCCGCCGCCGGCAGCCACCCGCGCACATTCCATGCCCAGCCGCGTGCCGCCCGACACCGGTGCATGCTCCCAGCGCCGCTCCCGCACACTATCCCTCCACGCCTCACGCCACCGCTGCTCGTGTTCCTCCGCGCCCTATCCCAACACGAGAAGCACGCGCGGCCCGTCCGCGCACGCGTAGGATACGTGCAGTGCACGCCCACGTGACCACACTCGCCCTTGCCCAGTCTGCATCGGCCTAGGACAGCTGCTCCCGCACCCGCACGTGCATCCAGCGCCTGCCCGCGTCTATCCACTTGTCCGCGCGTCCCTACCAGCACCCGACGCGTCCCGACCAGCATCTGTCCGCGACCAGCGCCTGACCATACCCGAGATGCACCTTGACCGAGTCGCAGTCGAGCTCGACCGAGCCAAGCTACAGTCTGACCGAGTCAGCCTGAGTCTGACTGAGTCGACCCAACCGAATCGCGCCTGATTCAACTAGCCCGAGCCCGACGAGCCCGATTCGGTGATCCGTTCGTAATTCAATAACTCGATCAAAATCGAGAAAGGCTAGATCCCGTCAGCCCATCGGATTCTGGTATTCAGACGATCTCCATTAAAGGAAATCAGAAAGTCTATGAGTCGACAAAAAATTTAAACTGTAACATCCTAACCGTAACTATAGATTTCGCTGTGTTAGGGTTTATTTTTTCAAATTCAAACGTGCATGTTGTTTTCGTTCCTAATAGAACCCAACAACTCGACTACTGGTCACGTGCGGCTGGAACGCGGTGCCCGCGGTGGTCGCTGGGTCTCGCGCGGTGGTCACCGGGACTCGAGTGCGGTGGTTGATCTCGGAGTTTTGGTACCTCGGGATCTACTGCTATATCACCCAACACCTCTCCGGTTGTCTTGGTGGAGCATATATATATATATATATATATATATAGGGGACGGATCCAATGAGACCACTCCTTAAAATGGGTACGTGAGACTCAATCTTAGCCACTCATTTTGTCTAGATCAAAAATAATTAAAATATACATTAATTAAATAATAAAATAATTATTAGTTGACTCCGGCGTTGACCGTTGACTTCCAGCAAAAATCGTTGACTTTTGGTGAAAATCGTTGACTTCCGGCGTTGACTCCGACGTTGACCCGTTGACAACTAACCTAGCAGTAAGAAATAAATAACCTAGCAACAACAGACAACTAACCTAGCAACAAAACACAACTAACCTAGCAACAACAGACAACTAACCTAGCAACAAAAGACAACTAACCTACTAGCAAGAAAGAAATAACCTAGCAACAAAAGACAACTAACCTAGCAGCATCAGACAACTAACCTAGCAACAAAAGACAACCTAGCAGGCGTAGACAACTAAACTAGCAGCATCAGACCACTTCCGACCACATGCTCTCACCTCTCTCTAGGTTTCTCTCTCTACAATTTTCATCCACCACTTCCGACCACAACTGCCTCCTCTCTACCCCGCAGCCACCACCACCGCCTATCTACCCCCACCCCGGCCACCTGGCCTTTGGGCCACCTTCCTTTTTCTTTTCTTTTTGAACCTTTTAGCTCGCAGCAATG